AGGGGTGGGCGACATGACGTCCCGTATGTCTGCCGATCCCTTTCCCGAGTCGGCGCCCGAACTCATGGACGGAATGGTGGAGCCGATGATGGAGGGGCTGTATTGCGAACTACTGGCCGACACTAACATGGCTTTCCTTGTGTTGATTTTCTTGACTACGGGTGTGGGAAGGGATGAGTTCGTGGGACTGACAGTAGACGTGAAAAACCCGCGGAATTTAATCGCTTGACAATAGATGACTAAATCGGATAATTCGGGCGCTATTTGGGAACTGGACTTTCGGACCACTTTGGTGTGGGTGTTGTGGTGTATGGCGATAGGGGTCGACCGTTCGGGAACGCCATCCCCGTCCCCGTACTGGTGCTCCGACTCATTCTGACTGCGGGGTCGGGAGCCCAGGGGTGAACTCGTGAGCCCATAGGCACGGGTAGGGAACGGCTGTTTGGCGGGTGTCTGAGTGTCGCCCCCATAGCTCGAGCCGTACTCCTGGCTCGACGAGGACTCGGTCTTAGCTGCCGGCGCTTTCGCACCGCCCGTCCCGCTGACGGTCACCTGTAGTTCGGCGTGAGGTTGAACGACAGCACCGGTAGTATCCCTCTCAGCGCCGGTACCCTTTTCGTGGTGATTGGCAGTCGAGGGCACGCTATCGACGTCCAGCCCCTCGTCGTCGTCCTCCTCGTCCTCGTACTCGTCGTCCTCCTCCTCGTTGAGACTCCCGGTGCTGGCCGTGGAGATGAGGCTATTGGTGCGACCGGTGAACGACTTGGACAGCGTGTTGGCCCGCATTTTCATGTTGAGGGCCGGCGTTACCGGCGCCCGGAGTTTCTTATTCTTGATGAGTATGCGGTACCGGAGCTGATTGGGGGACGGGAGCTGCGGGTCGTCCGTATAGTCCGTGTCGAACAGGAATTTGGTGACGAGTTTGTCGCCGAAGGTCTGGACAAACATTTGCGCCATTTTTATCTGCTGAGGGAGGGAACAGTGGTTTTCCAGGGATAGGATCACGGGGTAGGGGCTGGCGGTGAACGCCTTCTCGTTGATGGTTTCGATGACCCTTTTGAATGGGATTTTGGAGGTAAGTGTGTGGCCGTGATATATGACGGGTAGGCCGTCGTCCCCGTCCCAGCAGTCCAGCTCTACGCACCGGCACCCGGTCGACAGCACCTGGAGGTTAGTGATAGAGAGGTAAGGTGTGAATGAATTTAATATTTATTTTATATTATGAATTGTTTGATTTAATATTATTAATCGGTTTCTTGAAAATGAATCTCATATCACCTAGCATGCATGCATTCATTTAATTACTTAATTAATTTTGTTAATAATTAAGTACTGTATTATATAATATATGCATTTCCAAAAACTAGTTATTTAATTAATCAATTTAACTTTAAATTTTTAAAATTAAGCAAGTAAATTATTTAAAATTCGTTAACTTATAATTGTGATTAAAAATGTAAATATTATGATAAATTATAAATTAGTAATGTACAAAGTATAAATATACTAAATACTGTAATGTATTAATAATGATCATTAGTATTATACTCATTATAATGGTTTTCATAATATTGGATCGGTTTAGCTTGAGGAATTATTTTGGTTTTGTAAAAATCTTATTTAGAAAATAAATTATCCTACAACATATGCATAAAAATGTAAACTCTTAATTAAGCTCATTTATAAATATAAAAATATGCATGAATATAAAAATTTTTATTAGTAAATATTTGCAAAACTAACAAAATACTGTAATGTTTAATTATAGTTGCTATTATACTATACTTTTAAATATATTTATTAATAATGGCTAATACCTGAACTAAAATTTAAATTAAATTAAATTAATCATTATAGTCTTTTATGTAAATTAATAATTTACACTGTTAAAACTATTTTATACATAGTTATTATTGAAAAATATAGCTTATAATGATTTTATTCATAATCCGGGGCAGATTTCCAGTAACCAATTTTTTTTGTTTAAACCAAAAATACCTATACATATAACCGTAATAATTATTATCCACTCCTACAGAATTCCTATCTACCGTTCCCTTGATATAGGGACAGCCAATGACTACATGACTACTCACTTGACTGTAGAGCTCGACCGACGACTCGCCCTTCAGCTGATGTCCCGTAAGGTATGTGTTATGACTGGAGGCCATGTAGTAATGGGAAAGGGATTCATTCATATCCTGCTCCCGGATCTCCTGGCGCTCGGGAGTGTAGGCGTAGTTGTCTTTGTCCATCAAATACTTGGCAAAGCCCTCGAAGGACAGGCAGTTGCGCCGCCGTATCGCCGGATTCGGCTCATGGCGTCTGATGAGGGCCTTCACGTCGTCGAGGGTCGGGCTCTCGCACTGGTATGTGATGATGAAGGCGTGAAAGTCTGAGGCCGTCAGCAGTAGGGTCTTGAGAGTGTCGATCCCGGAGCTGTTGGCCACTATGGAGGCGGCGGCGATGGCGTCGAAAATGCGGGCCTTTTGATAGGTCTCCTCATTTCGGTCGTACGTGGAGTTCCGGGTCAGTAGTCCTAAGAGTTGGTGCGAGTTCTGGGGGCAGTAGTAGGACATGTCGCTCGTGGTCGACATCGTGGGCGACGCGGTCAGGTCGCTGTCTTTGACGGGGGGCGCGGCTCCCGGCGCTGCGAGCGTGTTGTTGGTGGTGTCCCCCGAGGGGCCGGTTGTCTCGTTGAACGAATGTATGTCCGATTTGGTGGCGATTTGCTCGAAGATGTCTTTGATATCTTTGCGGGATCTGATGAGAAACGAGCGGAAGAGCTCCTGGAACTCGAGGAAATCCATTTGCGAGGAGTGGGTGATCGTCGACTTCATGGACCGGTTGGGCGTGAGGTAGGCGTCGTTGAGGGAACAGTAGTCGGTGTCCAGAGCCCGGTGCGGGTCCCGCCCACTGGTGCTGCGGGTGGAGGTCCGCGAAAACTTGTCCCGGTATTGGTTGGTGAGGGCGTTGGTGTGTATGGTCGGCGAGTCTACCGGTGCCGCTGTGCGACCACCAGTTGTGGTGACGTTGTTGTCGGTGGAGCTCACGGAGTGTAGACTCCCGGTGTCGGCCGCACCGGTAGTATTGTCGGCCACTACTACCACCGGCTGCTTAGACGGCGTCTGGAGTTTCATATTATAGATGCGTTGCCGGAGGGACGGGCTCTGGTGTGCCGATGAGCTCCCGGTGCCGCCGGTCAGGGCGTCGGCGTCAGCGCGCGGACTACTGTCCCGAATGGCCGCCAAAGACACCGAAGACTTCTTCTTCTTAATCCGATTGACGCCAAAGTTGTCGCGATGTTTGCCGGACTGGGAGGAGGCGTCGCACTGGGAGGGCGTCGACTGATAGCCGGCGCCCATGGCGTCGAGGGTCCACTTGCGGCCCCCGAACACCCGGATGGCCTCCGCGGGGGTCGGGCCCACACACACCGCCTCCTCGTAGTAGAGCTGAAGGTATTTGTCTTTCAACCAAACGATCCGCTGATCCGTCAGTTGTTTCTGTTGCTGCGGCCCCCGAACACCCGGATGGCCTCCGCGGGTGTCGGGCCCACACACACCGCCTCCTCGTAGTAGAGCTGAAGGTATTTGTCTTTCAACCAAACGATCCGCTGATCCGTCAGTTGTTTCTGTTGCTGGAGTTGACGGCACAGACACCTCAACCCCTCCGACCAGATACTGGCCACCAGTTTAGGTGCGATGAACTCCACGACCCGATTGTCACTCAAATTCGTGCCGAACAGTAGTTTGACGGACGACTGGCTC